AGTGGGGCCTCATTAAATTAATAAGCTTCTGTATAGCAAAAGAAACAATCAAAAAGTGAAGAGAAAACCCAGAGAATGGGGAAAAATCTTCACCAGTGACATGTCTGATAGAGGTTTAACATGCAGAACATATAAAGTACTGAAAAAACAATCGAGAAACCAAATGACCCAATGAAAAGATGGGCTAAAGATCTAAACAGAGACTTCTCAAAGGTAGAAATAAAGATGGCTAAGAAACATCTCAAAAACTGTTCAACATCATTAGTAATTATGGAAATGCAAATTAAAACCACCTTAAAGTATCATCTTACCCCAATCAGACTGGCTAGGATCAAGAGAACAAATGATACCAAAGGCTGGTGAGGATGTGGAGAAAGGGGAATGCTCATTCACTGCTGGTGGGATTGCAAACTCATGCAGCCTCTATGGAAAACAGTGTGGAGAACTCTTAAAAAGCTAAAAATGAACCTACCATATGACCCAGTTATACCACTTCTTGGCATTTACTCAAAGGACTTATTCTATTGTAGAGACACTTGTACAACCATGTTTGTTGCTGCTCTTTTCACAGTAGCTAAGAGATGGAAGCAACCTAAGTTGCTTCAACTGACAAGTGTTTAACAAAAATGTGGTATATTTACACAATGGAGTTCTATTCAGCAGTAAAGAAAGATGAAATAATGAAATTTGCAGGTAAATGGATGAATCTAAAAACTATTATACTAGGTCTCTTGCTGCAGCAACGCAAGTGGGAGCACTGTGCCGGGGGGCGGGGGGGGGCTCGGAGCGGGACTGTATGGATTTTTGTAATATGGCAGACAAGCCAGACATGGGAGAAATTGCCAGCTTCCATAAGGCCAAGCTGAAGAAAACCGAGACGCAGGAAAAGAACACCCTGCTGACCAAAGAGACCATTGAGCAGGAAAAGCGGAGTGAAATTTCCTAAAAGCCTAGACTGGAGGATTTCCCCACCCCACCCCACCCCTGTGATCTCCGAGACCCCCCTCATGATGTGGAGGAAGAGCCACCTGCAGGATGGACACCACAAGCTGCACTGTGAACCCGGGCACTCCATGCCAATGCCACCGGCTCCTGGGTCTCTGAAGGGGGCCCCATCCCCAATCAGACTGCCAAATTTCACCGATTTGCCCTGGGATTTTATAGAAAATTATTTGTATGATTAATGAAAATAAAACACACCTCATGGCATGGCAAAAAAACCAACTGTTATATTAAATGAAGTAACACAGACTCAGAAAAATAAACGACCTATGTTCTCCCTCATATGTGGCTCCTAGCAGCAAATCCTTTTAAATTCCAGGTCCTTTTAATAGGATGATACTATACAGCAGTCCCTTCTGCATGAAATAACTACCACATCATGACTTCAGCTGAGCCTGATCACTAATCATAGTCACAGTTGGGCTTGTTGATGGTTATGCTCATTCATTGAAGAGTGTCAAGCAAGGTCACTGGACCCTCACCTGAGTATCCAGCCACTCTTCCCAGCCAACTAGTCCAGCCTTGGAAGACAAAAGGAAAATGAGGAAGAACCCAATAGAGGGATGCTTTTGGAAGCCCTTGTCAAGAAACTCCAATGAACATATAAACACTCTCATATGAACATTTGAAAATTGTCCTGTTCTGACCTGTTTTCTAGTTCCCTGTCTAGAACTTATAATGCTAATTACTCTTGCCTTTACTTCTCCTTCACATCTCCTATTCATGATTCAAGGACTTTCTTCACCCATTAGAGACAAGAGTTATGCAATTTGGGAGTCTTTTAGATAGACCCACCGAAGGGGTACTCCAATTGCCTCACCCTGCATCCCTGTTCAGCATGGAAGAAGCCAGAGGGTCTGCATCCCTATTCCCTATTGGCAATTTGTGTAACCCCTTCAGAGGATGGTGTGATAAGAATCGGAGGTAGGAATTGGCTAGGCAGTTAGGGTAAAAAGACCCCAACCAGTTTCTGGGCTAAAAGTCAAAATGTCCTTGGGCCTGTTATTCCAAAGGCCAAAAATGTCAAAATGTCAAACAAAAGTATTTGGAAGCTTGTATCTAATACTTAAAAGATTTTAGGGTTACCTCTTCAGAGGGAGGAATGTTGGAGGGAGGGAGTAGGCATGGATTTGATCAAAACACCTTATATGTATGTATGAAATTCTCAGCATACAACTGGGAAAATGAACAGCAGACCCCAATCTTATCTAAAGAAATATTGACAACTGATTGCTGCTAGATGAGGAAGAGCTGACCTTCCTAAAACAAAGACCTGTAGATAGGCTGACTAGATTCACCAGATGGACAAGCAGTGGGGATGTTGGGAGCTATTAATCCATTATGTACATTGAGCTGTGGCAGGCTTGCTTGTTTACTTAGAGTTTGTGTTTTGACCAAATCTGCCAAGTCAGGAGGAATGTGTTTCTATGGTGGAGTTGACAACAAGTATTTGACCGCTCCTTGACCCTCAGATACAGGTGGGAAAGACAACTGTTGAAACTGAGTTCTTCTGTATACAAAGGCAGAGAAAAAAAAAACGGGGGCTGCAGTCTCTACTGACGGTCCTCCCAAGTATCTTTTCTCTGTCTCTTGTTTTTTCTTTCAATCCTCACTCCCCCTTTCAGGTACTGTCCGTCTTGGCCAGCTGACACCGGCATGGGGAATGGCTGGGGGTGCTGGCAACACAGCAGACAGTAGCAGGGATGGCAGAGTATAGGGGGTCTAGTGGGGGGAGGGAGGCTATGGGAGGGTGCCATCTGTGAAGTGGGTATATAGTTGAATGGTTTGGGATGTTCTCTGTGATATACACACACAAAAAAATCAACAAAAATTTTGAATGTATTATATTTGAGGAGGAAGCATGGAAAATTACATCATGTTAATTGGTGGAGGTGATAAACATTACCATTGAAATCTACCTGATGACTTTACAGACATACACAGGCACCAAGGATCCAAGTGCAACCGATTATGACTAGTAATAATGATACATACAGATTAGAGATGCATGCGCCAACATCTCACTGTTAGTAGCAAAAACAATGAGTCTTTCTGTAAGGAACAAATGGAGATCTTTTTTGAAGGTTGAAAACTCATTCGATTTTGTGTCTTACAGGGCTTATGCTGAGTTCAATACTGTAAAACTGTATTAATTCAGCTGTGAACCTAAAAACTTACAGCCACTTGTGAAAGAGATGTACTCTTGCTCTGGAGTGTGTTACTGAATATGTTAAAGCTCTAATGAAATGCTTCTTCTAATCATATAGTTATTAAAAAAATTTTTAAACATATGCATATACACATACACACATATATATAAAACATACGCATACACACACACACACACACATATACATACGCACACACCCTTCCTTGCAGTGGCACCTACAGCCTCTGGCTTCCCTCAGGACCATTTGGGGGAGAGAAGCCCATCTATCTGTCTCTCTCTGCCAGTCATAGGCCTTGTTTGAGGACACCCCAGATGAAGAGAGGGAGGAGGAGGAGGAGCAGGTGTCAATGACCACATTTCCCTGTGATTGGTGGACAGGATTGGAAACAGAGCCCCAAAGCTACACAGCCCCAAACCCACACAGCCTAACTGGTGTGGCAGGTGGAGAAAGGGCAACTCTGTGGGGGATAGGCTCTGTATATGTCCACCTCAAGAACAGGGCACAGTGGCCTCAGTCCTCAGACCACATCACAAAGCCAGTGATCTGATCCCCAGGTGACAGCATGAGTTCACCCCAAGAAAGCACGACATCCCACACAATTCTGGGAGCAGGCCCATGGTTTATTGCATAACAGGGCTTAGAGGCCAGAGATGCGGGAAGCAGCACCAGGCATCTTGGGGTAAGGAGGCCCTTTTCCTGCAGGACTGGAGCTGAGGTGAGGCTGATTTATCAGTGGCAGATCCCTTGCCAGCAGGTGGCTGAACAGAGGGATGGCTGGGGATGGGGGGAGTATTCTCAGAACACAAGGGCAGCATCCCCCGAGGCTGTGGGGCAGACCACCCCCGGGCTCTCTCTTAGCCACTAACACCTTCACTGGTAGCAGGAGCCACTTCCACAGGGTGCACACAGGCCAGTGCTCACTGCCACATTCCTGGTGCATGGGGTGCTGCAGACACTGCCTATCACTGGCCGTGAGCCTGACACACACAGGTCCCCAGACACGACCCCACCACAGGAGCTGCTGACACCTATGAGAACAAAGGCAGGGTCTTGAGACCTGGTTGGAGCTAGCCCATCCAGTCACCTTCTGTTGTCAGTTTGGTTGCTCCAGCCCTTCAAAGATGGCCACAGAGAGCCTCTAGTTCTAGTCTGTAAATTTTCCAGGGAAGCCTCTGGGTGGGAACCAGGAGGCCTGGGTACTGGGCCTGCATTAGCTCTTGTAAGCCTTTTTGTGGATTCAGTGTCCTCATTTCTACAAGAGGGACATTATACTGAGTTATCTGAGGGCTCTTGGAGTAACATCTTTCCCCTCTCTAACCTCAGTCATGCTGTGAGCTAACTGCAGTCTCTCCTGCTACATGAGCAACCTAGTCCCTTTTATTGAGAGTTATCAACACTTGCCCATATTTTGAACACCATACCCAGGAAATCCTTTTCCTTTCAGGGTTCACTGTACTTACAGACATTCACAGCTCCAACACCTTCACACAGCCTGAGAGGGGAAAAGACAGGGGGAGGAAGAAAAACTGAATCAGAATGAAATAAGGCATCAAGTTGCCCTCTGGTGCCACAGTGGCTGTCTCAAGGTCAGTTTCCATGTGTATTTATGTTTTTGCATCACTTAGAAAAAGGTACCTTTGTAGTGGTGGCAGCCATATCCTGGGCACACTATCTAGTGAGCAGAGGTTGGACTGGTTAACTCTTTTGTTTTCATCGGGCTACCTTTGTGCAGTGTACAGTCTGAACAACTGTATCTGACAGACCTGGACAGGCCCAACTTTAACTGTTATGCTTTTAATTGAAAATGGCCTCAGTGGCTCATGCTTTGAAAAGTTTGTCTCCAACTGGAGGTGCTGTTTTGGGAGGTTATGAAACCTTTAGATTGGGGCTCAGCTGGAGAAAGTAGGTCACTAATAGTTGAACTTTGAAAGTTGGACCTGGCCGCTGATCTCTTTCTGTCTCTCCTGCCCAAACTGCCATGATGTGAACAGCCTCATTGAACATTCCTACTGCCATATATGGAGGTACTCAACTGTATCCTACCTGCTATGATGGGTTGAAACTGTGAGCCAAAATAAATCATTCTCCCTTAAAAAAAGTTTAAATAGAAATCTTTTGTGGGAAAAAAGTGTAAATATAAAAGTGTATCCAGCCGGGCATGGTGGTGCATGCCTTTAATCCCAGCACTCGGGAGGCAGAGGCAGGCTGATCTCTGTGAGTTCAAGGCCAGCCTGGTCTACATAGTTCCAGGGCAGCTGGGGCTACAGGGAGACCCTGTCTCAAAAAGACAACAACAACAACAACAAAAATTGAAATGTCCTAATAACAGAAATTATATTAACTCAAAATTTACTTTCCTTTTAGTTCACAGGAAGATGAAAGACCTTTGTTACCTTTCTATTTGAGGTATTTTTGTTTGGTTTGGTTTGGTTTTGGTCCACTGTACATGAGGAAGGTTACGGCTCCTTTGGGTTTACTTGCCTATTCTCTGTTCTCTCCTCTCCTCCTTCCCTCCTCCCTCTTCCTTTCTCTCCTTTTCCTCCTTCTCTTCCTTTTCTTTTTCTTTTCTGTTCTTTTCTTTTTTGAGACCAAAAAGACCAAAAAAAAAAAAAAGTGTATCCTAGCCATTTCTTTCAGTATACAAAGTTAAGTCTGAAAGTCAGGTGGCTCTCTGAGATGGTGAAATGCACATGCAGGTTTAATTTTTCTCCTTCCTGGATTAAATGTTAGACTATCTTGGGAAAGAAACTATAAGAAAATCAACTGAGTAAATAATGACTTGAATAAAAGACATTAAGAGCTCTTATCATGGGTCGATGTGGCATTGCATGCCCGTAAGGATACCATGTGGGGGAGTCTCTAGGCCTGGGAGTGTGACATCAATCTGGACTATGGAAAAGAAGCAAAACTATGTCTATGACCTCAGAGACAGAGAGGCAAGTTTCTGTATCCATGAATGAATATTAGGAAAAAAGAACATTTAGGTAAAAAATTGATATGAGAAATAAGATAATAGAGGAAAATTTCAA